GGGCTTCTTGCAGGAAATCCAACGTTCACAATGGTGAGGAAGAGGCGACATTATAGCAAAAACAGAGACGTCAAGGACATGGAGCTGAGAAAGGATTGTGAAGAGTGAGACCCAATGTAAAGAAGATTTAGGAATACCAGAACCAATATATATGCCAATACTTTCCTTTCTAAGTAGGCATCGCAGTAAAATATGATAAAAACCCATCTAATTAGGTCTAAAAGGGCTCTTTCACGAAGTACAAAAGAAAGATTCAGCAGGATAAGAAAGCATTGTGTCGCAGTTTAATTAAAAGCCTTTTTAAATTTTCTTGGCTTTATATAAAGCAACAGTGCATCTCAACAATTGGCAGCATCTAGGTTTAGATGAAATGGAATTTGTTTGAAAAAAAGAAAAAAAAAAAAAAAAGAACTACGAACAAGATTCCGAAGTACCCTTGACCCCAAATATTTCTCTGTCGGTTTATCCCCGGACTTAATTTCTCCGGACTTAATCCCCATGCCTATTGTCAGGCATGACGTACACTGAAGGCTCCCCTGGGGAAAAGCAGCAAATCTGTGTGTTTCTCAAGGACAGTGGTTCTCGAAGGGGTTGTTTCAGGACCAGCAGCATCAGTGGCATCTGCAAACTTGTTAGAAATGCACATTCTGAGCCCCCCCCCCCAAGACCGACTAAATCAGAAACAGGGTGGGGGGTTGTTATCACACACCCTCCAGCTGAATCTGATTCATACCAGACTTTGAAAAGCACTGCTTGAGGAAAAAAAAAACACCCAGTGCCACCAGCTTCAGCACCCAAGTTTAACTACTCATGCAAGCTGAACTAAAATGTCCCGGGGAGTCATCGAGCACCAGGCACTGTGCTGGGGGCGGAATGCTGCCTCACAAAAAGAAGCACACGTGCAAATGACTAAGCAAAATATAAAAGAGAATGAGATGATGGCTGCTGAAGGTGCCAGAACCACACCCTGTTTCAGGGGGTGGAAGATAAATTCTGACTCAAGAGTCCTGGTGGGCTTCCCGGGGGAGGTGGCCGTGGAGCTGCATCTTCTAGGGGAAGGTGGTTTGGGGCAGGTTTTCTAGGACACAGGAGGAGGACACTCACACTAAGGAACTAGGGCAAGCTAAGGGCACTAGAAGATTCAGAGCCCTGTGAGCAGAAGGGGCCGTCACTCAGACATACGCAAAGAACCTGATGACTTCAACAGGCCTCCCTCCCCTTTGAAATCGCCACGACGGATCCCACTCGTGGCAAGGACTGCCATGTTGCCACCCCAGAGCCATTTCTCCCTTTGCTGCTCAGGAACGGAGCCCTGCTTACACAGGGGAGCAAAGCAGCCAGAGGCAAATGGCCTCTACGGCGGCACGCAGGGCTGCAGGAGGTCAGGAAGGCCACTTACAGGCAGTTTGCCGGAGGCTACGGGCGCCCATTCAGGCAGCCTCTCCCGCTGCTTCTCGGCTGCCGGCCTCCAGTGAGGACACGGCTGCGCTGGCGCCATGCTGGATGCTGAGGTGCCTCGGCCTACAGCTGAGGACGGCAAGGCGGACATGCGGTGCCCCGGGAATGACATCATTAAACCACCACACCCGCCCACTGCCAACACGCTGACTGCCTGGAGGCAGGACAGAGGTGAGCTTCCTTCTGGTTTAGGCCACAGGTGGTGCCTAACTGTCCCCGATTCACCACGGTTTCCACCAGCCACCTCTTAGTTGCTGATCCGGGCAACTTCAACTCCATACTGAACACCTGCGCCCCAAGGCCCCATTCTCCTCTCCATCTGCGGCCATTCTTCTTGAGAACATGATCACAGAGCCATCTGACCCTTTAGCCTGACAGCAAAGGGCAGGCCTCGTTTCCAAGTACCTTCACCCACAGCACCCCCCAGACCTGTATCACCATCCACAACCCCTCAAACCCACGTCACCCCCCACGCCCACCCCCAGACCTGTATCACTCCCCCTCCCCACACATCCCAGACTGACATCAGCCCCCACACCCTCTCTGCTCAGGGAGACGCGGGTACCGACCACATCGGCGTCACCTGGGAGACTCAGAAAAGCGGTCTCTCAGACCCACCCGGGCTTCTGGACCAGAGTCTGGCTTTTAACCAAATCCCAGGGAATGTGTGTGCCTACCACAGCTCGACAGACACTGCTGTCAACCTCGTCCCCCTCACCTCCAGCGGCTCACCTCCTGACCGCAGAGCAGGAAGTCCGTTCTCCGGCTACACCCGCCTGCCCTTCTAGGACTCTCTGCCAATCAGCCTTTCCTACAACTTTAAAAGCAACCTATGCTTCCCTGAATTGCTTGCTACCCACTCTTCCCTGAACAAAATAATTACTTTCACACTTCCCTGCCTTTGTTTTCATTATTCCCTCTGCCTGGACTGCCCTTCAAACCCCCCAGGCTACCTGTGGATCTCTCAGTCACTTTTTAGGGCACTGTCAGCCTAATAGAGGTTTCCTCTGGACCATGAGCGTTTTGGGGAGAGGGATTGAGCTGGGCCTTCTCTGCCAGCAAGGTGGGCAGCAAAAAGCTTGGAGCCCATGTCACTTACTAGACTGTGCCCCTGCACATGGATGGCAACCACTCTCTGCCTCAGTTTCTTCCTCCGTAAAACTCAAATAGGGCCTGTGTGTCACAGAGTAGCTCTAAGAAAGTCAAGGAAGTGATAAAAATTAAAGGGACAATGCTTGGCACACAGTAACCACTTAATAAATGCAAGACACTCATTCTGTGTATCAAGACCTAGCACGGGAGCAGACACACGGGGGACACTCCATATGCATTTACTGATTTTCCAGATTGGCTTTGGTGCCTTAATTTTTCCTGGGCTCATGAGTCCACCCCACCCACTCTTCTGCACAGCCCAGCAAAAAGCCAGCATCCAGCCCCCAACAGGGACATTATTTAGATGAAAGAACATTTTCCGCAGCCATCCTGGTCCTAAGAGCCTTGCCAAGAAATAGAAAAGAAAAGCAATATAAATGTTAATAGGAAATTGTCTATTCGCTTTTACTGAGGCTAATCTACTGCAGCCCAACAAAGAGGGAATTAGACAGCTGAAGAAACAGGAAAACATGGGACCTTGACATGCTGAGGCCCAAGGGACTGCAGTTCCCAGGAGGAAACGATTCCAGGCCAACAAGTCTGTGTGGACATCAGGACAAAGGGCTTCTCCTTTGAATGTCTCCATTGTGGGTGGCGTGGGTCCCGCCCTGGCTCTTGCTTTCTTGGGCGTCCATCAACCTGGATCTACGAAGTGTAGCCATTGGTCCACACGGCAGAGAGAGGAAGGCAATGACGATGCAGTCCCTGTCCCCAGGGACTGCTGGGACAAACAGACAAATAAACCTACATTATCATACAGTGTGGCAATGCTACCAATGGGTTCAAGGCGTCAGATAAGGAGAGGCACGTACCAGATCACCAGGACAGGTGATGGAGGAGGACCCAAGAAGTCTTATAGAGAAGCCTCAGGGATGGGTTCTAAACGTGGACAAGAAGGAGCCTCATAAAGGCGGCAAGGATGCCCTGAGCATCAGGGACCCACGGTGGGTTAAGCTATACAGCGGTCCCCCAAAGATGCCCAAGTGCTAATTCCTGGCCCTTGTAAATGTTACACTGTAAAACAGCAGAGACTTTGCAGGTATGATTAAAGATTTTGAGATAGGGAGATCATGCTGAATTATCTGGGTGAGCCCAGTGCAATCGAAAGACCTTTACGAGACATGAGGGAACTGTCGGCATCAGAGGGAAAGTCAGCATGACACGGAGACAGAGATTGGAGCGGAACACTTTGCAGATGGAGGAACGGGTCACAAGCCAAGGAATATGGGCAACCACCTGAAGCTGAGAAAAAGCAAAGGAACGGACCGTCCCCTCAGAGCCTCCACACGCAGCCAGCCTTGCTGATTCTGTGACTTGAGCCCAGAGGGACGGATGTTGGACTTCTGACCTCTAGGAGTCTGGAAGAATAGGTCTGCACTGTTGGAAACCACTAAGTTTGTGCTAATTCATCGCAGGAGTAACAAGAAATGAAGAGGCACATCTCCAGGACTGTTAAGGAAAAAGGACCAAAAAATGAACCGGAGGAGGCAGCCATGGGCCAAACCATGAAAGGATTTGTACACGAGGCTGAGTTTCCATTTTATCCTCAACGCGGAGCTGCTGCTAAATGATATTAAGCAGAGGGATGATATAATAAGATTGCCCGTGCTAAAGCACTGAATCGTCACATTTTTTGATCTTAAATCTCGGGAATTACCACATGTCTAATTCTCCATTTTATTGACTCATTTCTTTTATCATGGACTATAATGACATTATGAAAAAGAAGGAATAATGTACCGGAATATGTAACTCTAGCACCAACCCCCCCACCCCCCACCCAAGGCCATTTCTCGTGTTTTTTGAAGACACACACCTGTGTTGGTAGGACCATCATCAGGTAGGGCTATGCGCATGCAGATCGCTGGACAGGATCGAGGATTGAGAGATTTCCCCCCACCCCCAAAATCCTGGATGGATGATCGCCATGTGCGTAAAAAGAAAGACCGCATTCAAATCCAGCCCCGTTCCCTGCCTCCAGGAAGGAGAAAGGCAACCAACAAGTACTGAGTGCTCAGTGGGGCCCAAAGCTTTGTGAACATTTCCTTTGCCGAGACCCCCAACAATTCTCGGAGGGGGAAGGACTACCACCTTCTGGACGGCACTCTAAGTGTCAGGGGTGTGGGGGCTGAGTGTCAGTGACTGAGAGCCATTCCCCAAGCACTGCAGTCACCAGGCACATGGCACCGGAGAAACCCAAGCAGAAGAGATAATCTGTCTACTTGTGCGCCCCAGAAATCTCTGCCCATCTCTGTCTGCACACAGAAAGGCCCTGAAACGGCCAATTCCAGCCATCCTCCGGGCCCCACGCCCTTCCCCAGCCTCCGTGTGCGCCACAGCTCCCGCCCACAGGCACCTCTTCAGGGCCTCCGTCAGCAGCGCCCTTTGCTGAATGTCACTCGCTGCCAAAGGGACTGCTTAGGTGGCATCTCCGCAGCCCCGGATCTGAACAAGCTGGCTTTGCTCTGGCACTGTCACCAGACCCCTGAGGCCATGGGCCAGGCGCTGCAGAGGTGGCCAGGCAGTGCCTTGGCTGGGACCAAACCAGGGGCCCCACAGACTGCAGAACTGATTTCAAAAACCCCTAACCCTCTCTGGGCTTCAGTTCAAATAGTGGCCCGCTGCCTGCCCCATCGGGACACCCCACAAATCGGAGGCCATGAACACTTCCCATGCTTCCAACACTCTCCATGGCCACTGAGGGCCCTGTGGCGTTAAAACACCAAAAAAGGGCTGACGGTATTGGGCACGTGCGGAGTTTTCAATTTGGAGCTATTTTAAACAGCACTGCTACCAACCGCTCTGACAGGCTCCACTCTTCCCTGCTCCCCCTTTTCTTTTGGGATCTATATTTGGGGACAGTACATTCCTAAGAATAGAATCACTGAGTTAAAGGGTAAAAGCACAATTTATAGTTCCTATGGTGAACTGGCAGTTTACTCCCCAGAAGGAGTGATGTCAGTACTGCCAGCAATTCAGATCCAACAGCCACTGACTGAGCCCTGACTTAATTCCAGCACCGAGCCAGGCACCTCCCTTTCGTGTTCTCTTTTCAGGACCGAATGGTGCTCGGTTAGCCCCATTTCGTTGAAGGGGAAACTGAGGTCATGTAAAGTAAAGCAAAGTGCCCCAATGTACTGTGAGTATTTCGAGTTATTTTGAGACAGGGCTGGGAGAAGAAATTTAAGTTCCTGAATCTCCCAGTTCTGCTATATCTGCTGAATTATTCAGATCTGTGAATTATCCCACACTGCTACAACAGCTTTCACTTATTACGATAACCAAGACCAGGGACTGAACTGGGTACCTTCTCTGTTACATAAACCAGCATGTCCACCCCAGGCAAAGATCAGGGAGTCAATCTCAATAAGGAAACCAACGGCAAGGATAGCACCTACTACTGAATGCTCCACGCGTGCAAGACATCGTAGAAAGGATTAACTCTAAAGACCTGAGTTAGGCATTAATATGCCCAGTTTATAGATAAAAGGAATGAAGCTTGCAAAAGTGACTTCCCTCAACAGTTCCACAGATTACAAATCCATCTATCAATAAATGAATTTGATCACAGGGCGGTCTCCAAAACCTAAGCATTTTGTCGCAAGGCTAGACTGCTCCTAACTGTTACCACCAGCAGGTGGTGGTAAGGAAGGAGGTTGCTAAAGATGGTGGTGAGAAAAATCAGCATTCCATTTTGGTCCATCTTCCCTGCGATGTGCTGGCTGTGTAGTTTGATGAGGGTGGCATTTATTTCAACGCCATCCGACCAGCTGCATACAAATGCACATCCTTCTCTCCTGAGGGCTGCTTCCCATTATACGAACGAGGACCACAGGATCGGCCCACATCCCGCACAGGCCTCCAGTTGAACTCCTCCAATGGCTAAGAGGGGCCTTTCCTTCAGAGCCTGCCTGAGAACATGAAGGTTCCTCTCAGGGGCACCATCTGCAGGGCAGACGGAGCAGAAAGGTGGCAGTTCCTAGAAAGCAGAAGGAGCTCCCTGTAAGGGCAAGAGCATCAGCATGGGAAAGAAGTCGCAGGTTCAAGTCCCAGCTCCTCCAGGAGTGACCTGACGCAAGACAGCCCTGGCCTTGCAAAGCCTAATAAATTAGACAAATAACTTGATGGAATTTCAACTGCCCTCTGGAGGGGGCAGGGTGGATTCTGGTACAGATGGACTCAACCGACTTTAAAGAAAGGAAGAGATTCAGCAAATCGAGACCAGATATCTGAGCCCCAGATCATTTGCACAGCAAACCTACCAGCTCACAAGTCCTTCTCCTCACAACGCACAGACAGAAACCCATGGGCTGGCTTGGCCCCTTTCTGCCCTAAGGCACCGAGCATCACAGGCTGTTTTCAGATCCCTCGCCAGCTCACATCTTGGTAATACTGCAGGTTGAAAGCAGCCTGAAAAAGAAATCATTACCTCCATCATCAAGTGAGAATGTGATCATCTCGGAAGACTCAGAACTGACACACGAGACCAATGCCAGTCGAACAGTGTTCCGACTAATAAAACAAAAATGGGAGGCGGAAAAGGAAAAGCCCACGCTGGCTTCCCTTCCTCACTGTCCGGACAGGAGAAGGAGGTGTCTTTCCCCCGGTCATCCTGCCAGATGTGAAAGGGAGGCCTCCCAGGACCACACGTGTCCTCTGGCACAAACAGCCTGACCATTTTACTACATGTCCATCGGTGAAATACAGAGAATGCCCAGGTGAGAACGGAAAGCAGTCAAGCTACACATAACAAAATTCACCAAGTCAAGTTCAGCTTTGCCAGAGTTGCTCTTTTCACTGTAACCTAGGGAGTCCCCAGGTGTTAACAGCTGGAAATGGTTCTAGGGGTCTTCATGCTGGGGTTTATGTCTGCATTTTCAGTCTGCAACCAACGTTTTTCAGGCACACAGGATGCCAGGCACGTATCCGTCATTCCCCCTCTTTCTCCAATTGCTCTGGCTTCCCAGCCAGCCTTACTCTCTGCTCCCAATTCTTTGGAATCAAAGGAACTTAAAAAAAAAAAAAAAAAAAAAATCAAGCTGCTTTGGGAAAAAAGTCAATTTGTAAATTCTCTACTTGGCCCTGTCTACCTGCAAAGACAGAGAAAATTCTAGAAGTGAAAGGAGAGGACTGTTGTTTCCCGTTTTAGTTTCCAGATGGAGCTGCCTCCCACTGGCTAACCACACGCCCAAGGGGCTGATGTCACTACTGGGATTTTAGTAGTACTGTGTGGGCCCCAAGGCTAGTACCCCATAAAATCCACCAGAGTTAGCGCATCTGAGAAAGCCAGAGACAGAAACAAGGGAACCAATGTGTGTACCTGGCTCTGGAAAGGTCTACAGAATCACCAAACAGAGACCATCAAACAGACTGAATGTCCGTCTTAGAGAGGCAGCCACACCGGAGCAGGCTGACGGAAGTCTGGGCACGGAGAATAATGCAGCCCCAAATACTGCTCCCCAAGACCCTCAGGAGAACCTCCTAGGGCCATTTCCTAGGATGAACGGCTCAGAACTCACCAACCACACCGCATGGTCTGGAGGAGAAAAAAGCGCTTTCGACTGAGCCAGGTGCTGTGGTGTGATTAGCCTCCACGGACTGGAGAGAAGTTGTCCGTACCCAGTGGAGCCTCCGCCATTTAAAAAAGAAAGTAATTAGCACGACTGGGAGAGCCAGGCACTGAGCCCACCTACCAAGAAGGTGGTTGTGGTGGTGAGTACATATGGGGAGACCTGGATGGGGACTCAAACCTGAACCCCTTTTACTTGGTCTAGCCAGGGTTCCTGCCAGGTGGCGCACCATGTAAGCTAGACATTGGGTGCCTTCTTGAGCCACAGTGCATCTCTTCCAGTGGCCATCACTGTATTAGGTTACTAGTGCTGCCACAGCAGAGTACTGCAGATTGGGGGTGGTTAAACACCACTGATGTATGTTGTCACAGTTCTGGAATCTGGGAGCTCCAAGATCAAGGTGTCAACAGGGCTGATTTCTTTTCGGGGCTCTCTCCTTGGCTTACAGGTAGCGGTCTTCCCCTGTCGTCTTCATGTGGTCTTTCCTGTGTGTCTGTGTCCTCATCTCTTTTTATAAAGACAGCATTAACACTGGGTTAGGACCACCCATGACATCTCAGTTTTACCTTAATTAACTCTTTTAAGACCCTATTTCCAAATACTATCACATCCTGGGTAGGAGTGAAGCCTATGCATTTTGAAAGGAACAAAATTCAACCCATAACAGTCATTACCACTGAGGAACGGGACACACACAGGAAGGGTAAGCAGCTCACCAGAGGGTGGCTGATCTAAACAGAGTGACCGTGGAAACTGCACCTAAAGTCTAACTTTATCCTGAGGAGTCATTCGCATCGAGCATGCCAAGACTGCTCTAGGATTAAAGCGAGTGTTTTTGTGGTTGTTGAGCCAGCAACTGCCTATCGTCATGACTCATTCTCCTCTGCTCAGGGTTGTCCAAACGCCATGGTTGTGTAGAGCTACCCGCTCCCCATGGCAGTGCACCAATTTTTAAAGACCTTCTTTACAAGCCACTGAGCGGTGGGATCACAAGTCTCAGTAGCGCCCATGTGATTGATGCCTGCTCTCCAAACTGGATTTCATGCTTCCTCAGAGCCTTTTGATGGTACCTAGTGGAAAACCTTGCACATAGCAGTTTCCTGATCAATATTTGCTGAATGCACGAATGTATGTATGAATGGATGGAGTGGTCAAGGTATCCTCAAAAGAGCTTTCCCAGGTTTAATGAAGTTCCATGATTCCGTTCCAGGAGGTAACACTCTGGACGGCTGCTCGACAGCTGAGTATTACATCAAACCCCAAACCATTTCTTTTTTCTATAAAGCATATCTTCCTCCTATCCAGGCAGCAGATCAGAGCAGCAGCACCCACGGAAACAATGCAATGATAAGCTGCCATCAAAAATAGTGGCCTTTGTCCAGGTACAGAATGATGGAAAACCCCAGGACCAATTGAACTTTGCCCTTAGAATTAATCCCAACACTACTTTGATGTACTTTCTTCTCTTGCCAGACACTTGTTAGGTGGAAAAAAGGAAAACTTCACTATCATCATCTGACTGTATCATCCCTGTTTCCTTTCTGGAAAAGGCCATTGTCATTCAATCAATGTCTGTTTGAGTAACCCTATATGCAAAGAACTACCATGGGCAGTTCCCAAAGAAGCAGAAGACAATAGCTCATGAAGCAAGGCGTTTATAAGAATTCAAGGAGATAAAAAATATTCAAGAACGCAGAACAATGCAATACAAATTGTATTAAAATGTGTTAAGTCTTTGAGGAATACCAGTAACAAGTGTAAGGCTAGGATTTTAAAGAATAAAGCATTCTAAGGAGAAAAGAGACAGTAAATCTAAGCATCAAATGGGAGGCTGAAACTGTAAATTTTGAACTTGGCCCTAAAAAATGGTTCATTCTGGGTCTAATGGATGACCATGGATATGAACTGTCTAGGTATTAAGCAAGCTAAGAAGAACAGTGGCAAAAATTACAGATCCA